GCACAGTCCACATTCCACCAGCGAACGCACTTCCATGTGCGTTTGCTGGTGGAATGTTCGCTGTTTTTTATGACAGTGTCATAAAAAAGAAGGAGGGCGCGAGGAAGAGGCAGAGAGGAGAGGTCAGAGAGAGTAGCATAGAGGGTAAATAGGCTCCAGTCAGCAACTGCCACCTAGGGAAGGAGAGGGGAGGGTGGAAAGAGAAAACAGAAACGAGGATGGGGAAATGATCACTGTTATGGAGGTCATCAAGAACCTGCCACGTGAAATCTAAGTAAAGGGACGACGAGCAGAGAGAAAGATCAAGACAGGAAAGGGTGCGAGTTTGAAAGTCCACATGAGTGGGCTCACCAGAATTTAGAAGAGAGAGGAAGAAGCAAGGACGAACGGTTCAAGAAGACGGCCTCGGGTGTTTGTCAGGACATCACCCCAGAGGGAATGTTGACAGTTGAAATCACCCAAAAGGAGCACCGGCTCTGGCAAGGTGTCCAGGAGGTGCTTAAGATCAGGAAGGGAAAGTGGGACATTTGCGGGGGGGGGGGGGGAGATAAATGGAACAGACTGTACACCATTTACCCACAAAAACATGGGCAGCAGAACAATGAATAGATGACGGAAGAAGTAGGGGGACGAAGGGAATATCAGAACGAATTAAGAGAGCAGTAGAGTTATGGGCCCCAGCAAGAGCTGGGAGGGGGGAAAAAAGAAAGGAATAACCATGAAAGTGACCAAGACGAGCACCAAGCATTGGTTCCTGGAGACAAACACAAAGTGGTGAAAACTGTGTAATTAGAAGTTGGAGTTCATGGAAGTTGGCATAAAATCCACGCATATTCCACTGAAGAATAGACATTATCAAAGAGAAAGGACAGTAACAGAGAACAAGAAAGAAATAAAGATATAGAAGAACACAGTTTATTAAAGAATCTCAGGATCAGGGTCAGGATTAGGAGCGGGGTCGGCAATATCAGGGTTAGGGGGCATGGGTAAACTTAGTAAGGACAGAGGGAAGGGAGCGAGAGGACAGACCAGAGGCGGACTAACGGGGTCCGGAGGAGGTGGAGACAACTGAGAAGGGCAGGCAAGGACAGCTGGAGGAGGGGGGGGGGGGGCAGAAGTCAGGGAGTACACTCTCAGCAAGGGCAGCAACAGAGGGAATCGGGGGCGAAAGAAACCTCCATATCTGGGACAGGGGGTTCGACCACTGAAATGGGAGGGGATGTAGTGACAGAGTCAGAGGGAGGGGGTGAGGAAGAAAGCGAAACCTTCTTACCCGCCGGAGAGGAAGAAGGAGAGGAGCCAGGCTTACGTTTCTGACTCGAAGAGACAGGCGTTCCAGTAACAACGTACCGGGTGACAGACTCAATGGTCTCAGCAGGAGAAGAGGAACGGGAGTAAACACGAAGGTTGTTGGGAGGATGATGGATATCAGCCTGGTCAGTCAGGTAGCGTGCAGGGTCAAGAGACTGGGGGGAGGGTCGGGAAGAGAGTGGGGGGAGATGGGGAAGAAGATGAAGGAGATATGGTGGACTGGGTAGGAAGAGGGGAAACCCCAGATGGAGAACCGGGAGGGAGATCATCCAGGACAGGAGGCAAAGGAATAGGGGAGGAGGTGGTGGGTGTTGTCGGGTTTAAGGCCTGGAAACGGTTGTGACTGAGGAAGACGGGAAGGACGAGGAGAGGTAGAACGCAACATGCAAGCGTAAGATGCTCGCGAAAGGGGCGAGACAATGAACTTTGCGTCTCGCTTCAGGAAAAGACAAACGATCACGGTGCTTCAAGTTGAGGACGGCTTCCTCGAGTTTGTAGTGCATACATGAGCGTGATTGAGGCAGCGAGCTTTGGGAGAAGTGCACTCTGACTTAGAATGACTATCGTCCCCACACATGGGGCACAGATACACAGTACTGGTGCATTTGAGGACACCGTGCCTGAACTTCCAACACTTATTGCAAAGTCTAGGAGAGGGAATGTACTCCTGAAAGGAGCATCTGGCACCAGCAAAAATAATAGAGGGTGGAAGGGCCCCTACTATCAAAGGTGATTTTTACAACTCGAAGGGGCTGACGGCGACGACCATGAGGGGGTCGAGTAAACGTGTCCACCTGGAGGACTGAATGGCCTTGGGCTTCGAGGATATGTTTAATATCCTCATGGCAATCTTTGAGGTCCCGAACACCAGTTGAAACATGGTGTGGGAGGAGAACAGTACCAACACTGGCATTTAACCGAGCATTTTTGGAGACCCGAATAGGGGTCTCTCCAATGCAGGACAAAGCAGCTAAGCGAGTAGCTGCATCCTGAGGAGGATGAGCGACGACACGTGTACCATAACTGGTAGAGTTAAAAGTAACAGAGGCATCTACCGAATCAACAAGGTGTTTATGGAGGGAGAAATCGTCAGGAGGAGTAGAATCCAAATGGTGGAGATCAAAGTATTTAGCTCATGTAGCGGGACCAAACAAGGCGTTGTAAATACTATTACGGGAAGGGATTGTGCGAGTGCAGCCGTGGCAGGGACAGCGTTGAGAACCCCCAGAGAGAGAGAAAGAGAGAGAGAGAGAAATGGGGGGGGGGGTAAAAGGCGCAGTTTTCACAATGAGAGATGAAGCCGTGCCAGGGGACGAGGCGGTCACCACTGGGGGCTGGGGACTCGACCCCATGGCTACATATATACCATGAGAAACTGCTACATATATACCATGAGGTAGAGGAGGGAGGGGAGCTGGGGGGAGTAGTCAGGTCGTCAGGGCCCAGTGCAGCGGGGGCTACAGGGCCTGGTCTTCCAACACAGTCCGACTTGGGGGCTTGGTCGCCCACCCCACGAGCCCGAGAAGGAACGAGGGAAACATTATCAGCCATGAAAACTTTGAAAAAAAAACTTTCATTCACACATGTGCCCCCACACCCACCATGGAGCCACAATTAGAGGCAGGACACCCAACAAGAAGCTATAGCTGATCTTGCCGGGGTCCCCCAGGGGTGCGTCATGAGTATACGCCCCACAAACGCCACCTTAAGAACCCTGAGTCCGTCGAGATCGGGTTCAGTGACGAAAGGAGGATTGACAATAAAAGGTTCCCCTCGCTCTCTACGTTGGGTACTACAGTTCTACGGGTGCAAGAGGATGCTTCCTCAAACACCCGGGCATCAAAATAGAAGAAGTCCAAGAGAATAATCAAAACAGGCAAAAGGTCGGCAGGAAAAGACAATGAGAAAGGAGATGAGGGGGGAGGGGAGAGAAAAACGAAACACAAGGAGAGAAAAAAAAAAGGGAGTTCTGGCCAAAATTGGTAAAGACAGCAGCCGGAGAATAAGGCCACAAAAGGACAGAGGACTGACCCACGGAGCATCACACTCCGGCAGCCGCCCACTAAGCCCCCTCACGGCGACAACGAGCCAGAAAGGGAGGGGGTAACCTGTATATAGATAACTTCCAAGGAACAACTAGCAGTGAGAAGGAACTGCTACATATATACCATGAGGCCAATTGAGAGTTGTTGGGAGCAAATATGCCTCTCCAATCATTGACTTTCAATAATACAAACTTATATCAACTGATTGAATTAGAATTTCCCGACTTCAAGGCAAGATGAAGTTACCAGGTGTCAAATGGGAAACTTCAGATCAGTTGAGCATAAAGGCGGTGGAGCCAGATACCACTAATTTTAACAGTGAAGAAGCTATTATCCCAATTCAGCAAGGCTTTCGACCCCTTATTGCTATTAAGCCTCATATCACTGTCTATACCAACGCGACCACTTGTTCTCACTAGAACACATCTAGAGTTCAGGACTGCCCTGGGTGAACTGGTTTCTGCTGACCACGATACTCTTCACATCACTTCTGCAGACTAAAAAGTTACTAGCAAGACAGAAACTACACAGGTATAAAATATGATAACAACCTTTGACTGGGGAACAGAAAATATGGTCGGGTGCACTCAATAGATGGCGTTGACATCATCACCTCCCTCAACAGAGCGCATTGTCATCGACTCACCTCCTAACCTAAATAAACTGTGGTCGGTAGTGCTTCACAATGGCGTGGATACCGTCACACCTCACTTCACAGATGGCGTCGATATCTTCACAACACACCATAAGGATACAACATGACCAACATGAGGATACATTGTACATACCATAATGATACAACATGAGAATACATTGTACATACCATAATGATACAACATGAACAACATCAGGATACATTGTACACACCATAATGATACAGCATGAACAACATGAGGATACATTGTACACACCATAAAGATACACCATGGACAACATGATGCAGTTTACACAATTCGAGAGCAGTAAAGACCTCACATTGAGACATTTCATACAGCATTGTCGTAACTTGGGTTACTAGACCATAACCGAAGTTTACAAGTCTCTACTAGACCGTAAGCAAAGTTTACCACTCTCAACCAACCTTCAAATACTCCACAACGTAACTATACCAACCTTTAATACCAATCATTGTGTTCGCCTTTCTAACAATCTTTGTATAGAGGGTTTACAAAATACATAATAACTCTCTGAGTGCCGTGTACGTAGCTTAATCATGCTATCACTAATACAACGCTTCCCTGGGTGCCACTATCAATCGACAGACCAATCACTCCCTAGATGCGTTGCTGTATAATACTACAGTTATGATCATGCATCACTATACAACACTATACATTCTTTGCTAAAGTGAATTCCTTTGTCGATGTCCATGCTCTATGTATATGTATATTCAATATTCCAATTTTCGTCGCCCAACAATGTATAATATTATACATTTTATACATGACATTTTATGCAGCACACAGTTGTACTAAGGTCTGAGGTTCAGCTATATTGTTCGTTCGTGTGTGCAAGTTGATGCCAGATGTGTGGGGGGTGTGAGGTGCCAGGTATGAGGAGCCACGTATGAAGCTGTGTATGGGGAGCTGGGTATAAGGTGTAGACGAGGAAGGTCGAGTGAGGATAAGGGTATGAGGGCCTCACCTGAGTGGACTGCGCAGGCTGAGGACAGTGTCAGGGCGCCGGACGTCCCCCAGGCTGTGGCGCCGGGTCGGCTTCTCAAATAATTTTTCTGGTTCCCTGGAAAAAACAAAAAACAAAAATGGTGATTTTTCCGAATAATTCCTACGTGTGGAACTATTGACATTATTGAGTAGTTCTATTTCTTCTCAGTAATGTACTTGGTTTAAAGTTTAAAGAAAAACAAAGCTTTCCATTCAAAAAATTACCCCAGGGGGGATTTAAACTGATATATCGGTGTGAAAGTTGATGTGGTATATATATATTAAAGCGTCAGGCAAGACCTTGTGGAACACCTAAACTGTACACGACTTACTTATTAATGGGTGGAAGTTTATCATAAGATGATCCCGTGATTGACAACACTGACGGCGACTGTGGGAGAGAGAGACAGAATTAATGCCACACATATTGCTAAGACACTCCTTTCCCATCCCTTGCACCCCCCCCCCTCTCACACTTCAGCCGTCCTCCCTGCTCAGCCTCTCTCCCTTCAACTCCTCTAAAAATACCACTGAAATTAGAGGAAGTAAAGAGTTAAAGTGCGTGACATCACGCAGCTTGTTAGCGGAGTGAGTGGTTGGTGGCGAGGCTGCTAGCCTGGTGCCAGCGAGGCTGCTAGCCTGGTGCCAGCGAGGCTGCTAGCCTGGTGCCAGCGAGGCTGCTAGCCTGGTGCCAGCGAGGCTGCTAGCCTGGTGCCAGCGAGGCTGCTAGCCTGGTGCCAGCGAGGCTGCTAGCCTGGTGCCAGAGGCTGCTAGCCTGGTGCCAGCGAGGCTGCTAGCCTGGTGCCAGAGGCTGCTAGCCTGGTGCCAGCTTAAGGAGTGTTGCTGCGCCTGGTGTGTGTGTGTGTGTGTGTACTCACCTTGTTCTCACCTAGTTGTGCTTGCGGGGGTTGAGCTCTGGCTCTTTGGTCCCGCCTCTCAACTGTCAATCAACAGGTGTCCAGGTTCCTGAGCCTATTGGGCTCCATCATATCTACACTTAAAACTGTGTATGGAGTCAGCCTCCACCACATCACTTCCTAATGCATTCCATTTGTCAACCACTATGACACTAAAAAAGTTCTTTCTAATATCTCTGTGGCTCATTTGGGCACTCAGTTTCCACCTGTGTCCCCTAGTGCGTGTGCCCCTTGAGTTATATAGCCTGTCTTTATCAACCCTGTCGATTCCCTTGAGGATCTTGAATGTGGTGATCATGTCCCCCCTAACTCTTCTGTCTTCCAAAGAAGTGAGGTTTAATTCCCGTAGTCTCTCCTCATAGCTCATACCGTAGTCTTATGCTTGACTAGATATGGACTCCATGCTGGAGCCGCATACTCCAGGATTGGTCTGACATATGTGGTATATAATGTTCTGAAAGATTCCTTACACAAGTTTCTAAAGGCCATTCTTATGTTAGCCAACCTGGCATATGCTGCTGATGTTATCCTCTTGATATGAGCTTCTGGGGACAGGTCTGGCGTGATATCAACCCCCCAGATCTTTCTCTCTCTCTCTGACTCTTGAAGTATCTCATCTCCCAAATGATACCTTGTATCTGGTCTCCTGCTTCCTACCCCTATCTTCATTACATTACATTTGCTTGGGTTAAACTCTAACAGCCATTTGTTCGACCATTTCTGCAGCTTGTCCAGGTCTTCTTGAAGCCTCAAGCTGTCCTCCTCTGTCTTAATCCTTCTCATAATTTTGGCGTCGTCAGCAAACATTGAGAGGAATGAGTCTATACTCTCTGGGAGATCATTTACGTATATCAGAAACAGGATAGGTCCAAGCACAGAGCCCTGTGGGACTCCACTGGTGACTTCACGCCATTCTGAGGTCTCACCCCTCACTATAACTCTCTGCTTCCTATTGCTTAGGTACTCCCTTATCCACTGGAGCGCCCTACCAGTTACTTCTGCCTGTTTCTCCAGCTTATGCGTCAACCTTTTATGGGGTACTGTGTCAAAGGCTTTCCGACAGTCCAAAAAAATGCAGTCCGCCCATCCTTTTCTTTCTTGCTTAATCTTTGTCACCTGATCGTAGAATTCTATCAAGCCTGTAAGGCAAGATTTACCCTCCCTGAACCTATGTTGATGGGTTGTCACGAAGTCTCTTCTCTCCAGATGTGTTACTAGGTTTTTTCTCACAATCTTCTCCATCACCTTGCATAGTATACAAGTTAAGGACTCTGGCCTGTAGTTCAGTGCCTCTTGTCTGTCACCCTTTTTGTATATTGGTACTACATTAGCAGTCTTCCATATTTCTGGTAGGTCTCCCGTTTCGAGTAACCTACTGTACACTATGGAGAGTGGCAAGCAAAGTGCTCCTGCACACTCTTTCAATGCCCATGGTGAGATTCCGTATTGCCCAACAGCTTTTCTCACATCCAGCTCCAATAGGTGCTTCTTGACCTCATCTCTTGTAATTTCGAACCTTTCCAAGGTCACCTGGTTTGCTGCCACCTCTCCTAGCGCCGCGACTTCTCCCTGTTCTATTGTAAAGACCTCCTGGAACCTTTTGTTGAGTTCTTCACACACCTCTTTGTCATTCTCTGTGTACCTGTCCTCGCCCACCCTAAGTTTCATCACCTGTTCCTTCACTGTTGTCTTCCTCCTGATGTGACTGTGTAGTAGCTTTGGTTCGGTCTTGGCTTTATTAGCTATATCATTTTCATACCTTTTCTCAGCTGCTCTTCTCACACTAACATACTCGTTCCTGGTTCTCTGGTATCTCTCTGTACTTTCTGGTGTTCTGTTATTACGGAAGTTCCTCTATGCCCTTTTGTTCAGCTCCTTTGCTTTCATACATTCCCTATTAAACCACGGATTCTTCCTTTGCTTCTCTGTTTTTTCCTGTCGGGCTGGGACAAACCTGCTTACAGCCTCCTGACATTTTTGGGTGACATAGTCCATCATGTCTTGTACGGACTTGGTTCCGAGTTCTGTGTCCGAATGTATATCCCATAGGAATTTATTCATCTCCTCATAGTTTCCCTTTCGGTACGCCAGCCCTTTGTTTCCCAGTTCTTTTTTGGGGGTGATAATTCCTAGCTCAACCAGGTACTCAAAGCTCAATACACTATGATCACTCATTCCCAAGGGCGCTTCCAACTTAACTTCCCTTATATCCGACTCATTTAGGGTAAATATCAGATCAAGCAAGGCTGGTTCATCCCCTCCTCTCATTCTTGTCGGTCCCTTGACGTGTTGACTTAGAAAGTTTCTTGTTGCCACATCCAGCAGCTTAGCTCTCCATGTGTCTGGGCCTCCATGTGGGTCTCTGTTCCCCCAATCTATCTTCCCATGGTTGAAGTCTCCCATGATTAGTAGTCTGGATCCATTCCTGCTAGCCACAGAAGCTGCTCTCTCTATTATATTGATGGTGGCCAAGTTGTTTCTTTCATAATCCTGTCTGGGTCTTCTGACATTTGGTGGGGGGTTATATATGACTACTACTATAATTTTCTGTCCTCCAGTTGCTATGGTGCCTGATATGTAGTCACTGAAACCTTCACAGTTCTGAATTACCATCTCTTCGAAACTCCAGCCTTCTCTTAGTAGCAAAGCTACACCACCACCTCCTCTCCCTTCTCTCTCTTTCCTCACTACATAGTAGCCCTGTGGAAACACTGAGTTTGTTATAGTTTTCGTTAACTTTGTTTCTGTGAGTGCTAATTTGTCTGGGTTTTCTTCTAGTGCCCATTCTCCAAGTTCACTTGTTTTATTTGTAATCCCATCTATGTTAGTGTACATTGCCTTGAAGCTCACTTTCATCTGTTCGTTTTCATGTCCCTTTCTTGGCGAGCATTCTGCTGGTGTGGGAAGCTGTTCCGTGGGTGAGAGGATCTGTGAGGTGGTTTGCAGGGTCTCACGAGGATTTTGGGGTGGGGGGGTATAAGGGAAGGGGGGGTCAGGTAGGGTGTGGGTTAAGGAGATAGGGGGGACATGGAGGATACGGGGTGAGGGGGAAGGAGGGATAGGGAGGGTATGGGATGAAGGGGGAGGGGAGACAGGGGGGAAAAGATGGGAGGGGGGACATGACGGGAATGAGGAAGGGGTGACAGGTTCAGAATGGGGTGGGGGGGGAGGGAGGGTGGGTGGGGGCAGGTTGGGTGGGGAGAAGGGAGGGTTTCTATGCAGAAGGGGGTGTTGTTGGACTGTGTGTGTGTGTGTGTGTGTGTGTGTGTGTGTGTGTGTGTGTGTGTGTGTGTGTGTGTGTGTGTGTGTGTGTGTGTGTGTGTGTGTGTATGTGTGTGTTTACTAGTTGTGTTTACTAGTTGTGTTTTTGCGGGGGTTGAGCTTTGCTCTTTCGGCCCGCCTCTCAACTGTCAATCAACTGTTTACTAACTACTTTTTTTTTTTTTTCCACACCACACACACACACACACACACCCCAGGAAGCAGCCCGTGACAGCTGACTAACTCCCAGGTACCTATTTACTGCTAGGTAACAGGGTGAAAGTGAAACTTTGCCCATTTGTTTCTGCCTCGTGCGGGAATCGAACCCGCGCCACAGAATTACGAGTCCTGCGCGCTATCCACCAGGCTACGAGGCCCCCTGTGGGTGTGTGTGTGTGTGTGGGTGTGTGTGTGGGTGTGGGTGTGTGTGTGTGTGTGTGTGTGTGTGTGTGTGTGTGTGTGTGTGTGTGTGTGTGTGTGTGTGTGTGTGTGTGTGTTGCAGTAGTCAATATTTTGTTTGTGTCAATTGAGGCTTTTTTGGGGGGGTGGGAGGGGGAGGAACTATCAGGGGAAAGCGCCAAGCCCTTACGATTATATAGCACTTGGAAGGGGTCAGGATAAGGATTAGGGATGTGATGGGGGAAGGAATGGTGCCCAACTACTTGAACGCTCGGAGATTGAACGCGGTCCTGCATGAAGCGAGACCATCGCTCTACCCTCCAGCCCAAGTGGGGGAGGGGGAGGGAGTGATACACTTCTGCGTCATATCACATAAATAATTCCATTTGACTAACATATGCATCACGTGTGTCTTCTTATAATTTTTATAAACAGTATTTATACATATTTACACACCTTATAATATACAATGTATGTTTCTGTCTCTGTTGGGCAGTTTGAAAATTTCTCGAGTGTGATATACGACCATTCTACCCACAGTCCAATGTTGCACGATAGGCAAATTGTTGCAAGTAATCTTGGATTCCCTTAAACTTCATCGAGAAAACTGTCAGCCTTAAATTCTTTAGGTAAAGTGACCACTAAGTAAGGCCCTTGAAAGCATAAGACGGTTCTAACACAAGAACAGAACTAGTGGGTCACCTTCAAACAGGAGTGATCTCTTACCTACAAATAGTCAAGTCTAAGAAGGTATCTGTCTATCTGCAAGTCCTGACCTGGAGTAAATACAACCATTAACACGGGATCAGCAGTT